GTGGAGTGGTTGTTAGGAAAGTCAAGCCCAGAGCCCTTCAGACATTGCTTTTATTTTGTGGTGCTCTAAGCAGAGCATAAACAAATAGCACCTGCTTTTTTGGCAGACATCTCTGCCCATTTGAGACTCACTAGAGCAACTGGTATTAAGTACACATACACATTTATTCAGAATGAAAAAATAATTGACTCATTTCTTTCCTTCATGAGCCTTAGGGAAATCACTTCACCTCACTGAGTTTCTTCATTTGTGAACTTAAGTTAAATCATATCTTACTCATTTACCTCATAGGTTGTTATCAGGCTCAAATGACATAATATACTGAATTTGGAGGACATTAGTCATAGGCCAGTATTCGGTATTATTATTTCTCTGCTGCCAGTTCCTTCAATACTCTTTGTTCCCCCTCTACACCCCTCTGCCACCAGCTTTTGTTTTTAGATGTCGTCCTATGGAAGCTTGTGTTCTTGCTGCCTTTTCCTCTCTGGAGGTTAACGTTTGCTTCTTAATGAGACCTAGATTCATTTTCCTTGGGGAAACCTACTACCTTTTCTTTCTGGGACACCAAGCACCAATGCCTCTCTTGCTTTGCTATACCTTGGTCTTGAAGTGACTTCAACCCCTCTCCACTCCCAATATGAAAGAGCTGAAAGGAGCAGTGACAGCGTAAAGATTGCTTTTGCCACCACAGGAAATAAATTGCTCACTGGTTTGTTAGTCACTAGTTCTGGAAGTTCTTTGCTAAAACAATTATTGTTTTGTTTGGTTGTTTCTTCCAAGTGTTACTATAAAGACCTTGCAGTTTTGTTTTGTTTTTAAAAATATTTATTTATTTATTTGGTTGCACTGGGTCTTAGTTGCGGCATGCAGGATCTTCGTTGTGGCGTGCGGGATCTTTTTCAGTTGCAGCATGCAAACTCTTAGTTGTGGCATGCATGTGGGATCTAGTTCCCTGACCAGGGAATGAACCCGGGCCCCCTGCATTGGGAGCGGGGAGTCTTAACCACTGCGCCACCAGAGAAGTCCCTGTTTTGTTGTTTTTAATCCTTTCAGAAATCTTTATTAAAAATACATTATTGAGGGCTTCCCTGGTGGCGCAGTGGTTGAGAGTCCGCCTGCCGATGCAGGGGACACGGGTTCGTGCCCCGGTCCGGGAAGATCCCACATGCCGCAGGGCAGCTGGGCCCGTGAGCCATGGCCGCTGAGCCTGTGTGTCCGGAGCCCGTACTCTCAGATGGGAGAGGCCACAACAGTGAGAGGCCCGCGTACCGCAAAAAAAAACCCAAAAAACAAACAAACAAAAATACATTATTGAGAGTTTCGTCCTTTTGCTTGATAAGGGCGTATAGCACTGTCCTCTTCATTTAACAGGGTCCTGCAATCAGAGGTGAATGACTAGCCTTCCCTGAAGCCCGCATGTATTTATTAAGCTAAGTGAATCCACTTGGTGGATTTTAGGGAAGTTTTGGATGAGATATTTTTATTTTATTTATTTATTTTAAAATAAATTTATTTATTTATTTATGGCTGTGTTGGGTCTTCGTTTCTGTGCGCAGGCTTTCTCTAGTTGCGGCGAGCAGGGGCTACTCTTCATCACGGTGCGCAGGCTGCTCATTGTCGTGGCTTCTCTTGTTGTGGAGCACAGGCTCTAGACACGCAGGCTCAGTAGTTGTGGCTCACAGGCTTAGTTGCTCCGCGGCATGTGGGATCTTCCCAGACCAGGGCTCAAACCCGTGTCCCTTGCATTGGCAGGCAGATTCTTAACCACTGCGCCACCAGGGAAGCACTGGATAAGATATTTTTAGATAGAGGGATAAATCCCAGCCAACCATACCCAGGTGTGGCAGATGACTCTGTGAAGGGGCAAGGAACACAAAGAGTTCTTGTGAGTTTGATTCTTCTCCTTGGATTTGGGAAGAAAGGGGAAGGGAGAACTAGGTGTTATGGAAAGGGTGCTAAGATTCTCTGGAGTTGTCCTGTCCAATATGGCAGCCACTAGCCACATATGACTGTTGGGCACTTGAAATATTGGCTGATCCAAATTGAGATGGAGTGCAAGTGTAACATACACCTGGGATTTCGAAGATACAGTACAAAAAACGAGTGTAGAATACCTTAATAATTATTTTCATATTGATTACATGTTGAAATGATAGTATTTGGAGTATATTGGTTTAAATAATGTGTAATATTAAAATTAAATTCACTTTTTTAAAAAAACTTTTTTAATGTAGCTACTAGAAAATTTTAAATTACTTATATGGCTTATGTTACATTTCTATTGGATAGCATTGCTCTAGAACTCTCTGTCCAAATGGTAGCCAGTAGCCACATGTGACTATTTAAATTAAAATCAAAATTAAATAAAATTAAAAATCCAGTTCCTCATTTATACCAACAACATTTCAAGTACTCGTTATAATCTATGGACCATAGAAGATGTCCATCATCACAGAAAGTTCTTTTAGATAATGCTGCTCTAGGGACTCCTTGAAGGCTACATCTGTCTGCTTTTTCATTAAGGGACACTATAGCCTTGGTATTGGAGGTGAAGTTATTGAAAACTTGGTGGGTAACTGGGGACGGCTTGGCTTGCAGTGGGGCAGCACTCTCTCTTAAAATCAAACTGGAGCAGCTCACCCTTCAGGCTTCTGGGAGGAGGAGGGTGGTTGATGGGGAAAAGAGGGTCATCTGCCTCTTTTTAGTTATCTCTCTCAGGATAAGGGCTGTGAGCCAAAGCTTTCTTCATCTCTCTTCAGGCTGGGCTATCCTCTCCCACCATCTCACTGGAGAATTTTAGTCATTTATGTGCACTATTTACCATTTATGTGTCATATATGATTATGTGTTTATAATTAAATATGTTGATAATGGGTAATTATATTTGATTTCTATTCTAAACCTTATTTTAATATGTTCAGTCGTGTAGTTTATTGTTCTTTTAGTTCCAAATAAATCCAATAGAGGGAGCATGGCTGTGAAACCCTCTCCCTCCAGTAGCCTAGGTCATGCACGTTCAACTGGGATGATATCTCCCCACAGCAGGTAAAAATCCACTCTTTTATTTTAAACAGATACATATTTATTGAGATATCATTCATATACCGTACAATTTACCCATTTAGAATATACAACTCAGTGTTTTTTTGGGTTTTTTTTTGCGGTACGCGGGCTTCTCACTGCTGTGGCCTCTCCCGTTGCGGAGCACAGGCTCCGGACGCACAGGCTCAGCGGCCATGGCTCACAGGCCCAGCCGCTCCGCGGCATGTGGGATCCTCCCGGACCGGGGCACAAACCCGTGTCCCCTGCATCGGCAGGCGGACTCTCAACCACTGCGCCACCAGGGAAGCCCCTACACCTCAGTGTTTTAAAGTATAGTCATAGGGTTATGTGATCATTACTACAATCTAATTTTAGAAACTTTCTGTCATCCGTAAAAGAAACTCTGTACCCATTAGATGACAGTCCCCATTTTGCAGCTCTAAGCAACCACTGATCTTTCTGTCTTGATGTTTGCCTATTCTGGACGTTGAAAATTGGTTCTTTGGTGAGGGGTGGGGGTGAAAAAAAAACTTAGATATAACAGTGCTTAACCTTATTGACAGAATTTTATTTCTTAGTATTTAATTTCTCTTATTGAGTTTTCTTGGGTATCATATGAGCAACACTGATGTTGAGTTCATGGAAGATCAGGGCTATAAACTATGGCAAACAGATGGCTGTGATTAGAGGACTTTATCTATTGCTTGATCTCAAAGTCAGATGGTGAGAGGTGGCCTGTACATAGCTAGCAGCTGTCATTGGCTGCCTCATCAGTGTTGTTTATATTTAATCCTTAGTACTTTTGTGATTTGAACTTTGAGAATTAAATAAAAATAGTTTATATTTTATTATTTAATTCTACAAATTGTTCAACAAATCAATAATTTAATTAAATGTTGAAAAGGAAAAATATTGACACTATCTGAATATCTAGCACCTAGTTAAGCTAAAGTTATTTTCTCATGTTAAGCAAAAGTTAAAAGCTAACAAAATAATAATTTTAAGAAATTAATTTAAAAACTTTATTTTATCAAAAATAATTTTGAATAATTAAAATTTGATTATGTCACTATTATGTATTTATATAAATTACTAAATTACATATGTGATTCTATACATTATAATTTATATAAGAAATAAATTACATTAAAAGTTACTCAACAGGGCTTCCTTGGTGGTGCAGTGGTTAAGAATCCGCCTGCCAATGCAGGGGACATGGGTTCAAGCCCTGGTCCAGGAAGATCCCCCATGCTGCGGAGCAACTAAACCTGTGCTCCACAACTACTGAGCCTGCGCTCTAGAGCCTGTGAGCCACAACTACTGAAGCCTGCGTGCCAGAACTACTGAAGCTCATTCGCCTAGAGCCCGTGCTCTGCACCAAGAGAAGCCACCGCAATAAGAAGCCCACACACCACATTGAAGAGTAGCCCCCACTCGCCGCAATTAAAGAAAGCCTGCGCACAGCAACAAAGACCCAATGCAGCCAAAAATAAATAAATAAATAATATATATATAAAAGTTACTCAGCAGATATAGTTATAAACTTAAGTTAAATATTAATAGCTTTAAAATTTTAAATTTAACTTTTCACACTTTATTTTTTAACCTTTTAAAAAAATTTTTTGGCTGCTTTCGGTCTTCGTTGCTATGTGGTGGTCTTTCTCTAGCTGCAGCAAGCGGGGGGCTACTCTTCATTGCGGTGCTTGGGCTTCTCATTGCAGTGGCTTCTCTTGTTGTGGAGCATGGGCTTTAGGCGTGCGAGCTTCAGTAGTTGCAACACGCGGGCTCAGTAGTTGCGGCACATGGGCCCTAGACTGCACGGGCTTCAGTAGTTGTGGCGCATGGGCTCAGTAGTTGTGACGCCTGGGCTCTAGGGTATGCGGGCTTCAGTAGTTGTGGTGTGTGGGCTCTAGAGTGCAAGCTCAGTAGTTGTGGCGCACAGGCTTAGTTGCCACATGGCATGTGGGATCTTCCCGGACCAGGGCTCGAACCCGTGTCCCCTGCATTGGCAGGTGGATTCTTAATTACTGTGCAACCCGTGTCCCCTGCATTGGCAGGTGGATTCTTAATTACTGTGCCACCAGTTAAGGAAGTCCCTTAACTTTTAACTTAAAAGAATTATTTAGTCTTTCTTAACCTGACATTGAATAAAAGGAATAAGCTTTATTCTTATTCTTTTTATGTATAAAGCACAGGTAGACATATAGTACATAAGGTATACAGTATATCTGTGGTATTAAATTTCATGGAGAAGGGACAATTAGGAAAAAAATAGCTAAACAGGCTCCTATGAGATGGTAATTATGACAAAAAGGTTGAGCAACAGGAACACAGGTGTAGGTGTATCTCCTAATAGGATGGTGATTAGTCCAGAACCTTGGTGTGGTGATATCTAGAGTGGATGGAAATGACCCTCCTGGTTGTAGATGTACCAGCTTACAGCTAGAAGGTCCCATGGTATTTCCCTTCACCTGGAAATAGGATGGAAGGGATAGGAGGGAAGTGCAGAACAGGGTAGGTTAGACAACACACATATGTAGAAGAAATAGTCCTTGTTCTTACAGTTCTTAGAGTCTAGTTGGAGAGATAAGACAGAAACATGGAAAGTTCATTCATTTAGTAAGAATTAAATGTAAATTCAAGATAAACAATAGAATATTTGACTTATTGCAAAAAAATTCAGTTTATCTACACTATTCTGTATGTTTATAATGTCCTTGTTAGTGCAGTGTTTTTAGTGTTCCATGGTACTTCATATGTACAGTGTGTAATGACAGTCTTATATATCACAGCTTTAGCTAAGATATGAAAGGAAGTAATATGGGTCCTGCTTTTTGGGGAGTTTGGCTTATGCCTCTCCAGGTGTTGTGCTGCGGGGCAGCGATACTAGTATTGCCAGGTTTGGGGGAACCAATCAAGGTTGTCAAGTGTGCCTGTGGGAGACCTAGGACTGGAATTCCAGAATCCTGAGTTTTGCAGTTTCTTTTGTCTTTCCAGAAATCTGACAGCCATTTACAGAGACAGTGGAATATGCTTTAAAAAAAAAAATCTTTTAGAGCATGTCCATTGCAATTCAAAAGAGGAGGGCCTCAGCCTTGCAAATCACCTGACATCATGGCCTTTCGGCTACACTTATGTATCAGCCAGGCTTTGGAGCTGACCCTTAGGAGGACTTTTAAGTGCTTCAAGTGGTGTTTAGGCCTCTGTTTCTTCTGCTGCTGTTCACCTTTATTTTTCTTTGTAGGTGTCTCTGCAAACAGACTCATGGGTGGTGCAATGCAGCTTACCTTTCGCAAGATGGCATTTGACTATTACCCCTTCCACTGGGCAGGTAGGAGAATTCTGAATGGGTGCAGTTTTAGCGTGGCCTAGGTATTGAGGCCATATGCCTGGGTTCATCCCTGACTGCCCAGCAGAAGGGTGCCAGGGATTGCAGCACATGCTCAGAGAGGTGTTGGCAATAGTCCTTTTCAAGAGGACATCTTCTGGAAACTTGCAGGGTCCACTGTTGATGCGAAGCAGTAGGAGGGGAGGCAGTGTCTGAGATGTTGCTTTTGATTCTGTGCTCTACCCCTTACTTGCACTAGTTTTAGAGCCTCTCCAGTGGTCCATGGTTAAAGATGGCAAAAGTCAGCAGCTGGCCTTTAGGGAACCCTAGGGAAAAATCACATATAGAATCCAGAAGAACTTGAGTGCTCTCACTACATAATTTTTACTTATCCCAGAGAATTTTGGATTGGCGGTGAGGGATCAGATTCTGAATTATGGAAAACTATACCAATGGAAAAGAAAATTTGTAACATTGGGTCATGATCTTAGACTAAAATCTTTTTGCTTTATCGCACAGGCGATAGCTGCAAACATTGGGTACGTCACTGTGAGGCCATGGAGACCCGAGGCCAGTGGGCCCAGAAGCTGGTGATGGAATTTCAGAGTAAAATGGAGAAGTGGCACGAGGAGACAGGTCTGAAACCACCCTGGCACCTGGGGGTAGACTCTCCCTTCCGGAGGAAAGCAGGTGGGTTATGAGGAGCTGGAGGACTCCTGTTGCTTTGCCTCTTGACATTTACCTTTGAGTATCAGTGGCAATAAAGCACTGGACTGGCTAATTATCCCAACTTACTCCCAGCTGATTATTCCAACTTTATCCCACGGAGAGACATCTGTGACTTTTTTCTTTACAGAGTCCTGTTTGTCTCCAGGGATAGCTGCAGTGTGGAAGAGAGGTTGTTAGCTTCTCTATTTAATAGGCCGTTGCCTTGGTCTGAAGGAGAGAATAGTTTTTGAGTTCCGTCCTGGAGCTTGCCAGTGTTAAACTCTTTCCTACATATAGCATTAATGATCTTAGGGTTTTTACTTTCCGAATTCTATTAATGATGATAGTTGAGTGTATCTGATTCTTTTTCCCACCTCCTTATTTTTATTTAGATTCTCTCTCCAGTCCTCAAAAGAACCCCCTTGAGAGAAGCCCCTCTCAGGGCCGACAGGCTGTCTTTCGGCCTCCAGCATGGAATCGCCTACGCTCTAGCTGCTTGGTAATACGGGTGGATGACTTGGACGTCCACCAGGTAAGGAGCCCATGACACAGGGAAACAGGGCTGGAAAGGGGTGGAGCAGTTCATTTGGAATGCAACAAATGTGATCAAGGTTGTAGAATTCGGAGGCTGCTTCCCTCCCTTCCAGGTGGATTTGACACTTTGGTCTGTTTCTTTCTGAGTGTGACTGCTGAGATCAGGACTTGGGATTCCCCACTTTCCTCTGAATACCCCACTACAAACCTTTCACTGAAAAAACGAACTCGTAGCTAGTGTTAGTCAGGTGTGAGAATGCCTGGAATCTGCGTGAAGAGCACTCTGCTCCCTGTGACAGACTTTGGAAGAGTTGTAGAGGCTTTATCCTCCTATCTCAGAGGAAATTGAGGAAATTCTATTCTGGGTGCTGTATAGATGCTAACAGCAACTCGTGATTGCATAGGTTTCTACAGCTGGACAGCCAAGTAAGAAGCCATCGGCACTCCTTTCCTGCAGTCGGAAACTTCACAACCTCCCCACTCAGGTCTCTGCCATTCATATTGAGTTCACAGAGTATTACTTCCCCGATAATCAGGAGCTGCCAGGTAAGCATCTGCTCTGGTCAGTCCTTACTGTCTTGCTCTTGCTCTTCGCATTTGTCCGCCTCGGGGGCTCTCTGCTTATATTCTGTTTGTCATTTGGAGTTTTAAGTGTTTGAGTTAGTTTAGCACACCTTTGTTGAAAACTCTTCCCTGTGTAAATATATACCTTTGATAATAAAATGAATATTAGCTGATAAGTGAGAGTCGAGCTGCTACTTCATTCATGGTTTCTTTTTTTCTCTGCTTTCCAGTTCCCTGTCCCAATCTTTACATTCAGTTAAATGGTCTGACATTTACTATGGATCCTGTCAGCTTGCTCTGGGGAAACCTCTTCTGCCTGGATTTATACCGCAGCTTGGAGCAGTTCAAAGCTATCTACAAACTGGAAGATTCAAGCCAGAAAGATGAACACTTGGACATCCGACTGGATGCCTTCTGGTTGAAGGTAGGGTAGAGAGTGGGATTTTTGTTCCCTGTTGGCAGCCACAGCTGCACTTCTACCATGGCTATAATCCAAGGTTCTGCTCTGTCCATTTGATAGAAGTAAGGAAAGCAGTTTTACAGCCCAAATGGTCTTTCACGTGTGTATTAATGGTGGGTTGCAGAGTTGCTCAGCTGGCCATTCTGAATTGGGTTTCATTTTCTCTCTGAAGGTGAGCTTCCCGCTGGAGAAGAGAGAGCGGGCTGGGCTGCACCGTCCCCAGGCCCTTGTCTTCTCTGCATCAGGCGTGACTGCCACCAATACACGTCACGCCCCACATTGTAGCTGTCCAGACCTTCAGAGTCTCTTCCGGGGTTTTGCTGCTGCTGAGTTCTTTCATTCCAATTATGTTCAGTTTCCCAAGGTGCCAGGCGGCTTTAGCCTTCTGCACATGCTGTTTTTGCATCACGCCTTCCAGGTGGATTCCCGATTCCCTCAATCTAGTGCCCTCCCTCCCCAGCGGCTTAAGGCTTCCCAGGATCTCTGGTCCATCCACTTCACCCAGATCTCCTTGGACTTTGAGGGAACAGAGAACTTCAAAGGCCATTCCTTGAATTTTGTGGCCCCCTTCCCCTTGTCGATTTGGGCCTGCCTACCCCTCCGCTGGCAGCAAGCCCAGGCACGAAAGCTCCTTATGGCCACAGAAGGGAGGCTGAAAGCATCCGCCAGCTTTGGCAGTCCTGTCCATTCTGAGGCCCTTGCCCCTGACACTGTGTCCCATCAGAGGTCAAAGACTGAGCATGATTTGAAAAGCCTATCAGGCCTTACAGAAGTCATGGAAATTCTGAAAGAAGGCAGCAGTAGTGTGGATAACAAAGGGCCTCTGACAGAGCTGGAGGACGCGGCAGATGTACATGTGCTCATACACTCGCCTGAGCATGTCCGAGTGAGGCTTGACCACTACCAGTACTTGGCTCTCCTCCGCCTGAAGGAGGTGCTCCAGGGTCTTCAGGAGCAGCTTACTAAGGATACCGAGGCCATGACTGGGTCTCCTCTGCAGGACCAGACAGCTTGCATTGGCGTCCTCTTCCCCAGTGCTGAGGTGGCTCTGCTCATGCATCCTGTCCCTGGCGCTGTCGAAGCTGACTCTGAGGGTTCAGATACTACGAGCCTTGTAGATTCAGAGCTGTCTCCTTCAGAGGATAGGGAGCTGAAGTCTGATGCCTCCTCAGAACAGGGCCCAGCAAGCCCCAGGAAGGTTCTGGAGGACACTGACGTTGAAAATCTGGATGCATCCCAGGATAGGCCACTGCCTCTCCATAGCAATGGAGAAGTGCAGGACACAGATTCTCTTGCACAGCAGGAGGCAGGGAAGGGCCATGAGGCAGTTGATTCCTTACAGGACAAGGGACTGAGCAGCGCCCAGGCACCTAGCTCACCAGCTGAGTTGAAGCCCCCAGGGGGCAAGGATACTGCTGTGAATGGACAGGGCGAGCTCATCCCCTTGAAGAACATTGAGGGAGAATTATCAAGTGCTATTCACATGACCAAGGATGCCACAAAGGAGGCTCTACATGCCACCATGGACCTCACCAAGGAAGCTATGTCTCTGACTAAGGATGCCTTCAGTCTGGGCAGAGACCGAATGACCTCCACCATGCACAAGATGCTGTCTCTGCCCCCAGCCAAGTGAGTGGTTCTCTGCCTCCTTCATTCACCTCCTCTCTCCCTCCTAGCTCTGGCCATTGGGCTCAGGCCTCCTGCCATGTGCACTTGTAGATTGGGAAGCACCGCGTGGTCCAGGAGCGTACATGGAATGGCCTAGTTAATGTGGCAAAGCCTTTAGTTTTCAGAGCTGCCTGTAGAGCAGCGGAAGAACTTTCAGGCTACTTAGAGGATATAGGCATACCAGTCAGAGGGACTTTACTTTCGGGACTACACCTAATTCTGTGATAGGGGAAGAACCAGAAATTGCAATAAAATAACAAAATCCCATGGATTTTCTCATGCCTCCATATATCTTAGCCTGGTCTTGGGCAGTTTTCAAGTCAACATTTATTGCTTCTTAGCATCAAGCTATCTCCTCTTTCACTGATTCACTGTTATTGATACAGCTATGCTGTATCAGAATAATAATACCTGGCATCTGTATGATATTTTATTCTTTTCAGTGGGCTCTCATATAGTATTTTATTTGATGTAATCCCCACAGCAGCTCGGGGAGGTCGCTGCAGATGTTTGTATTCCCAGTTTATAACTGAGGAAATGGAAGCTTCAGAGAGGATGAGCCCATGGATCCTGTATCTTATAACTAGAAAAGCTGGGGCTTTGAACTTGCTCTTTCTGGTACACCTTATCAATATCTGTCAGAGTAATAGAGAAGGAAGAATTTCACTCATCCGTTCAACAAGTATTTTTTGAGCCCTTACTGTGTGCCAGGCTCTGTGTTAGATGCCGGGGCTACAGTGGGGAGTAAGCAGAAAACACAGAAATGCACAGTCAGAAGAGTGGGAAGGTATAGATTTTTCCATGGGTGCCTGTGGTTTTAGGAAAGATAATGAAAACTATGGGAAATC